TAAATTATGTCAATATTAATTTAGAAAATAGATTCTCATTTGTCCTAATCAAAGTATTGACTTATATCCAATTAAGATGCTGTGTGACCTTAAAAATGTGTTCGGTCTTGAAAACTCTGTGAATGAGTTTATATAACTCAAAAACAATGTATTATTGTTGTTTTCTGTATTTTTCAGATTATCTTGGTCTTATATAAATAGAAGGGGAAAAAATGCAATAAGAGACTATTATTTTTCAAAGTATATTCTGTATTGGAGTTTTGTTATCCCAGAGACATTATAAGACCAACCTCTTTTTTTCTGTAAAGTTCAGTTTGGGCTGCTGTTGCCAGCGCTGCTGTTTTTAATTTCACCCTGCAGTTTCAAAAAGAGCAGATTCTGCAGTTATTCCAGGTATTTACAGCAGTGAAGGAGGTCACCTGCTGTCACTCCTGCTGAACATGTCTGTTACATGTGATCACACAGATTTAAAAAAAAAAAAAAACAGCACTAAAGCAGAAAGTAATTCAAAGTTGGCCAGTTCTGATGCATAGAGGTAGATTTTTTTATAGGGGTTGGAATAATAGTTTCTTTGTGGCTTTTAGTAATTGCAAGCCTGGGCTCAGGGGGATAAAAGCTGCTCCTCGTCAGTTCATGAGGGATTTTGCAGGGGGGGGGGGTCCCCGGCTGTGACTAACAATGGCAGCTATGAAAGGAGAGGGGAGGGTCCCTCTGATGCAAATATCTACTTTATTCGGCTTGGGGGAGAACCTGCACTGACAACAAGCAAATTCCACCCTAAAAATGGGAGTTTGAGCGAAGAAGGAGACTTTTAACACCTTTTTCTTTTCTTTTTCTTTTTTTTTTTTTTCCTCCACCAGACAACTGAAGAGGTTTATAAACATTTCCAAAACAAGAGGAAAACGTTTGAGGAATTACTTACAGGACCTAAATGCACCTGCTAATGGACAAAACTTCCTAACAATAAAGGTAAAATCTCCAAATCCTCTGTTTGGACTTTATTTTAAAACTTTTCATTCCAGGCACTGTTTTAATCGCTATTTCAGTTTTATTAATAGTTTTGCATTTATCAAAAGAACTTTTTTTTTGCGTAAGTTTCCCAAAGAAATTCGCTCATAATGCTAAAGTCTCTCCTTTCCACCCATTTTCTTGGTTTCTCTCTGCAGCTATTTAGTGAGGCTGTCTAAGGAAAACCTGATTATTTTCAACCCATCAATTCGCTGGCTTTCATTCAGGACATGCATAAAAAAGGCTTTGCTGCATAATAGATCAGTGGGAGCCTTTCTGCTTGTGAGGAAAACTGAAGGGAATCTCATTTTAATGTCGGGAATGGTGAGCGTGCAACAACAGTTTGATCAGGGCTTGATTTAGGATGTTTTGGGCCCCTGGGCTACATACAATTTTGGGTGCCACGCATGTTTCTTTTAGTAGTTTAACATCTAGACAAGGCTTTTTATAAATATGCATAAATCAGGGAATGACCTTATAACTAAAGTTAAGTCAAAGTACAAGTAAAAGTTGTAATTGATACCATGCATATCATATTTTTTTGACATGTAAAAAAAAATCAAATGCATGAGCAGGTTAGCTTTTGAATAACATTTATAAAGCCCATGTGTGCGATGCATTCTGCTACAGAATCTTTGTAACATACATTTTGCAGCACAGACCAGATATCAAAATGTACCTGCTGTTACACTAACATGTTTGCACAGATGAGGTGACAGTCATTTTCACCTGGCCGACAGTTAAAACTGGGGTCAATTGTCTTAGTAACACATGAACAAAATAACCGACTGTTCGCAGCAACGTGTTTAATTTGGAAATTGAATTCCCACATGGCTGATTCATCATCATAGCAAAAGCAGTGGAGCTGGTCCTGACGCAGCAGAACACTGTGAATTTATCACCTAAGACCCTAAAGTATCCACTGAAAGACACCGAAATACGGGGTTGGTCAGTGGGCATCATAACTTTAAAAAGAGTTTTTGGTTTTAATTCCAACAATGCCATATTTGCAACACATGCTGTAAAACAAGTGGGGAGTAAAATGTAATGAATAAGGACCACTATTTTTGAGCTGCTAAATTTTCTCTATATATTTGATTATGTTCCCTCAGTTTTTTCATGTCCTTTAAACAAATTTCCTTAGATTCAACATCCCCTTTTATG